AATATGTTGTTCAGTATGGAGATTACTAAAAAAACTAGGGATAGAACCACCATATGACCCAGCTATCCCACTCCTGAGTATTTTCCCAAAAGATCTGAAATCAACATAATATAGCAAAACAACCACCTCAAGTTTATAGCAGCATAATTCATAATACCTAAATTATGGAATTGACCTTGGTGCCCATCAATAGATGAATGGAGAAAGAAATTGTGGTATATATACACAATGGAGTTCTACTCAGCCATAAAAAATAATGAAATTACGGCATGCTGATAAATAGATGGAAATAGAGAATATCACACTAGCTGAAATAAGTCAAGCTCAGAAACTCAAAGGTCGAATGTTTTCTCTCATGTGGAAGCTGGAGTAAAATGAAGGAAAGGGGGAGAGGAGGATAGGATAACATAAAGGGAGGCTCAGTAAGGTAGAAGAAGGAGCTTGAGAGGCAGAGTGGGATGGTAGGGGGAGGCAACGCAGAATGACTTCTTAAACAATCATGTTATGTGAATATGCCACATATATTCACCTTTATACATAAATATATGTGTATATATTCACCTTTATACAAACATAAATATACATCAAATATAAATAGACAAGTGAGGTGAAGTCTAGAGTAGAGGAGGGAGGATGGGAGGGAAAGGGGGGCTCATGAACTGAAATAGAATTTCCTGCGTGTATGAGTTTGTCGGGATGAACCCACCTACTATGTATAACTATAAAGCTCTAATAAAAAAGAATAAATTGTGGTTATACATCTTAAAATATGTTCCCAGTCAAAAGAGTAAAATATAAGGCAATTCAATAACTAATTATTTTAGTTATTTTTTGAAACACAATTGTTGAGATTTTAACACACTTCCTTTCCCCTTCATAGGGGCTTATTTCTGTTGCTTTGACAAAAGTTTCTGAAAACGAAGCCTTCATTCCAATCAACAAAAATCTCTGGTAAGTATAGAAAAAAAGTGTCCTTTTAATGTTTGATAATTTCTCGTGTTAAAATTGGCTGTTTCTCATGAGCACTAAATTACCTCACCCATTCAACTCCTTAAAGGTCGATTTCATATGTCACCACACTGAGCTCTTTTGCCTTCTTCATCCTGCTGGTCCTATACCCAGTTGTTGATGTGAGAGGACTGTGGACAGGAGCCCCCTTCTTTTATCCAGGTAAGTCAACTCTAAATGCAAACAGAGTTGCTGATGGTGGCCCAGAGATCTACTGAGCTCCACTGGTGCTAGGGACTGGAGCCACTATGTTTCCAAGGAACACACTGAGGGAGACAGCTGGCCTGTTCTGAAGAGGCCCTCCCCATTTAGGTTCTGAGTCATTGTATGACAATTAATAAGCTCTACTTCCAGACAGTGGCAAATCGTGGAGCATCAGAAACAATCCAGTGCATTTTACTTGGTTTTTAATACTTAGAAATGAGACTTTCTTAACACACATGTACTACCTCTAAGATTAGACATTTTAAGAAATATCAAGAGAGGGATGAAATAGTTTAGGTGCAGTTCTAAGATTCCTTCAATGACTCATTTTAGCTGTTTTGATTTTAGTAATAGTTACATTGTTTGTACCTCAAGTTTTATGTCTAAAAAAAGTTAATGTTGTAATTTTCCTTTCATATTTAATATTCAAGAATTCATTGTTGGGCTGAAGGGTATCGCTTAATGGTAGAACGTGTGCTTAGCACATGCAGTGCCCTGGATTCAATCCCCCCTCACACACACACACACAAAAAAAAAAAAAGAAAAAAGAATTTATCATAAAATGAATATTTTCTAGTAAATTAAAGATACAGTTCACATCTAATATCTCAAATATGCATCACTTATTCTCAGCGGCAGTCAGTAATACAAGTGCATGATTTTTGTTTTTACTGAACTCATTTCAGAAATTAAATAGATGATCCAATGTGATTCAGGAAGAAGCTTATTTTCTGTGTCTCTCCTTAAGGAATGAATTCTATTCTGGTATATGTTGGCCACGAGGTATTTGAGGACTACTTCCCCTTTCAGTGGAAGCTGAAAGATAATCAGTCACACAAAGAACATCTAACTCAGAACATAATCGCCACTGCTCTCTGGGTGCTCATTGCCTACATTCTCTATAAAAAGAAGATTTTTTGGAAAATCTGATAGCTCCCACTCAAGTGTTGTTGGAAGACTCTAGTGGGCCTAGGTAAAGTATTGAAAGAACCTATATTGAGGGGAATCATCACTTATAAAAACAGTGGGATGTATTTCCAGATTTGGGGAGAAGGTGCTCAAGTTGGTTTACTCTGACATGAGTCATCAGAACTCTGTATATTTGTGACATATATTTGAAATGGTATGGTCTATCTTTTCTCCATCTTCTACATAAATGAATGCATTTGGAACTTCATTGTAAGGAAATCTCACTTAACTTTCCAAAAGGGATTTACTATGGGCATTTTGCGTCTGTGATGCATAAAACAGTCTAAGGTTTGAGGACTGGGGATGTGGTTCAGTGGTGCTTGTCTAGCATTTGTTAGGTGAGGTCCTGGGTTTGATCCCCATCACTGCAAAACAAACAAACAAAAGTAACAATCTAAGGTTTGATTCCTACTGACTTTTTTTTCCCCCTGGAAATTGCTTCTGCATGTGTACATGCATGCCAACAACAACAAAAATCATGATTTCCTACATGATAGAGTATAAACTTTATTGAATGGATGTGTCATAATGTTTTCTCAATTTTTTGATTTGGTTCAATTTAATGTTTTAGGAAAGCCAAAGTAAGTTTTTTTTTTTCTTTTCAGATTATCAAGGCTTTGATGAGTCAAAAAATACCTATCAGAAGCCATTTTCTCTTTTTCCCCCATTTAAAAAATAAAATTAAAATATAGATGTATTATTCCCAACCATCTTGATTATCTACCTGTTTACTTTCCTATTTACCTATGTACTTAGCATCTATCCTTCTATCTCCCTACCTACATGAGTATCTTTTTTTTTACTGGTTGCTCAAAACATTACAATGCTCTTGACATATCATATTTCATACATTTGATTCAAGTGGGTTATGAACTCCCATTTTTACCACGTGTACCTAAGTACCAGGAATGTACCTGTAGAAGAAAGAAACGCACACTGACTTCACTGTGAGTCCAACTGTCCATGCCTGCTGTATAAGATACTGGGCAAGTCCCTTGGGCTATTAGGACTTTGTGATGAGGTAGGGTACATCAGTAGCTTTTCTGAAATCTTCAGAACAACAATTTTGTTACAGAAAATGCCTCAAAAGAAATAAGAATAAAAATATTTTTAAAAACTATCATTAGAGTATGTCTTTTTAAAATGATCTTCCACTATGAAGACAGCTTTCCTGCTCAAAATCACATAACTGAAGAAACAATTTCTTAGGAATGAAGGTAGGAGAACACATGGAGAAAGAGCATTTATCACATGATATATCATTATACTTAGAATTTTCTGAAGAATTATATACTTAAGGGAAACGTTAGGGATGGAATTTTCCTTTAGACCACATCTGTGGTGAGAGGAGTCCATCTCCACTTACTCCATTTTTTCAACTATTGCCATTTCACAAACAGCTTTCTAGTCTATGTTCCCAGCTCTGCCTTCTGGCCTGGACTCCCACACTCTCTCCTAACTGTCTGCTGGCCCCCTCCTGCTAGAGGTATGCAAGCATCTCAGTCTCGCCTCTCCCCTCCTCCCTCTCCACAAATATAAGCTATTTCCTCTTCATATTTTCCTAGTTCTGTGAATGGATAAGTCTATCTCTAGTTATAAAACTGCTCCACCTTGTCACCCACCTTACCTCCGCTCTCCTGACTTCTTTCATATTTATACATTGCCAGTCCTCTTCATTTTCTCCCAGTAACTGCTTCTTTCTCATGGTCACTACCTCCACTCCAGATTCATCATAATTTTTCGTCTGGCTTTCTTTTCTCAGTCTCTTCTTCTCCCAAGTCACCTATCTGTTGCTACCAGACTCAATTTTGTAAAACAGAAGGGGTCAAATCAACCTCTTTAAACAACTTCTATAAAAATGGAAATATCTTTCCCTGGCATGCATGACCTATGATCAGCTGATCTCAGCATGCCTTTCCAGTTCATTTGGGATGTGGTTTCCCCCATCTCCTTTTACCCACCCCACTTATTCCAGCTCTGCTAGAAACCGCCCCATCTCCTGATTATATCTTCCTGGACCTTTTCCCCCTTAATTTCTTCCTCTCTACATTTAAGCTATCACTTTATTTATTTACTTTTTTTTTAACATTTAAAGTTAAAAAAAATTAGAAAGTTCATAGCTTAATGTTCAATTAACTAAAAGAATATAAGGAATGAACTAAGAGAGAAAATGTGGGAATCATTCAATAAAGAGATCATGAAAAGAACAAAACGAATACTGGAAGTGAAAGACTCAATAAATCAAATTCAAAACAGTTGAAAGCCTCACCAATAGATTAAATTACATAGAAGACAGATTTTCAAGTCTTGAAGACAAAGCATATATTTTTATTTTTGGTACTAGGAATTCAATTAAGGGGCACTTAACCACTACCCACATCCCCAGGCCTTTTTGTATTTTATGTAGAGACAGGGTCTCATTGAGTTGCTTAAGGCCTTGCTAAATTGCTGAGGCTGCTTTTAAACCCACGATCTTCTTGCCTCGGCTTCCCAAGCTGCTGGGATTACAGGCGTATGCCACCATGCCCAGTCATAACAAAGTACATAATCTTAAAAATAAATTCAACAATAAAGAAATTAAAAGACCATGACTGAATATTCAAGTAAGCTAGAACAACATTAAGACACTAAGCCTAAGAATCATGGTATAGAAGTCACCCAAAATGCAAACTAAAGAAATGTTAAGCGTTTTCAATGAAATAATAATCAGAAAAAAATCAAAACCTTAGGAATTAGATGCAAATCCAAATACAAGAGGTATTTAGAATCCCAAATAAACAAGATCAAAAAAGATTCTAAGACACATTATAATTAAAATGCCTAATGTACATAATAAGAGTAGAATTTTAAAGCCACACACACACACACAAAAAACAACAACAACAACAACAAAAATAAACAGGTGGTCACACTTAGAGGTAAGTCAATTAAAAGTTTTATTGATTTGTCAACCCAGACCCTAAAAGATAGGAGAACTTAAAATAATATGTTCCAAGCCCTGAAAGAAAATGGGTGCCAACCAGGATTACTATATCCATGAAATTTATTCTTCAGTGTTGAAGTGAAATAGAAAATATTCCATGACATGCAGACACTAAAATCATTCATAATCACTAAGCCAGCACTATAAAACATACTCAAGTATTTCATACAGAATAAATGAAATACAAATATCAGAGCCAATGTATGGATAAATCTCACAGAATAGTAAATTAAAGGAGAATTGAGTCTGAATTAAGCATTAGAAATAAATCAAAATAAAGCATTAGAATTAAAGTAAGCATTAGAAATAAAATCACCTCTCTGTAATAACACCAAATATGAATGGTCTAAACTCTCCAATAAAAAGACATAAAATAATTCTCAACTATATGTCATTTACAAGAGTCAAAGACATTCACAGGCTGAAGGTGAAAGGATGGAAAAAGATACTATGCATATGGAGACAGAAAGCAAGCAGGAGTGGGTACTCTCATATCTGACAAAGTAGACTTCAAGCCCAAATTAATCAGAAGAGATGAAGAAGTTCACTTCATACTGGTTAAGAGAATAATCCAACAAGATATAATGATTGTAAATATTTATTCTCCAAACACATGCATACATAAACAAACTCTACTCAATATAAAAAATATAACAGATACCAATAAAACAATGCTGGATCATTTCAACACTGTTGTCCACCAATAGATAGGGAATCAATTAAAAATAAACAACTAAGGACTCTTCAGAACTAAAAAAATTACTATTAATCAAATGGACATAGCACACACACATACACACACACAACACACTCTATGAAGTTACTTGAACGCAGGTGCACTGTATCACTGAGCTGCATCCCCCAACTCTTATTTTTTTTATTTTGAGACAGGGTCTTGCTAAGTTGTTTATGGCCTCCTAAGTTGCTGAGGCTGTCCTTACACTTGCAAATCTTGACCTCCTGACTTGTTGGGATTACAGGCGTGTGCCATTGTGCCCAACTAACAGACATCTATAGAAACAACTAAATTCACTTTCTTCTCAGCTGCACATAGAACCTTTTCTAAAATAGACCATATTTTAGTACAATAGTACAAAACGAGTCTTAGAAAATACATATTGAGATCTGATCATAATTATTTTCTGTCTTCTACTGATTTTAGTATTTGTTCTTCTTTTTCTAGGGCCTTGAGGTATGTTATTTGGGAATTAAGTTATTTGGGAATTTTTTTGTGTGTGTGTATATGTGTGTGTGTTTTTTTAATGTAGGCATTCAATGCTTTTTTCTCAGAATTGTCTTAACACTGTTCCAAAGATTTTGATACATTGTTTTTCTGTTCAGTTGTTTCTAAGAATTTTTCTTTTCTTTTTAATTTCACTTGTTTTATTTTTATGTGGTGCTGAGGATCTAACCCAGGTTTCACTTGTGCGAGGTGAGGGATCTACCACTGAGCCACAACCCCAGCCACCTAAGAATTTTTCTTATTTCTAAAAAAAAAAAAAAAAAGAATACATAGAGATAATTCCTCGAAACTTTGTTAGATCATAATGGAACAAAATTAGAAACCATTAACAAGATAAAAAACAAACTATCTTTTTTGCAGGGTGGGTACTGAGGATTGAACTCAGGGGTACTGAGTCACATCTCTAGCTCTATTCTGTATTTTATTTAGAGACAGAGTCTCACTGAGTTACTTAGCACCTCGTTTTTGCTGAGGCTGGCTTTGAATAGGAGATCCTCCTGTCTTAGCCTCCATAACTGCTGGGAATGCAGACATGCCCCACCGAGCCTGGCAGAAACCATTTTGATGCCTGGAGATTAAATAAAACACTCCAATGAGGAATGGATCATAGAAGTAATCAGGGGAGAAATAAAAAAAATTCTTAGAAACAATTGAGAACAGAAAAACAATGTATTAAAATCTCCGAGACAGTATTTAGACAATTCTGAGAAAAAAGCTTATAGCATTGAATGCCTACATTAAAACACACACACACACACACACACACACACACAAAAAAAAAAAAAGAATCCCAAATAATTTAATGTTATACCTCAGGGCCCTAGAAAAGGAAGAACAAATACCAAAATCGGTAGAAGATAGGAAATAATTATGATCAGATCTGAAATTAATGCATTTGAGAATAAAAAGATACAAAGGATCAGTGTAACAAAGTGTGAGCTCTTTGAAAGATAAACATGATTGACAAACCCTTAGCCAACTAATCAAAAGAAAGAGAAGGCCCAAATGGATGGAATTAGAGATGAAAAGGAGCTACCATCATAGACATTACTGAAATTAAAAGGAACATTAGAAACTATTTTGAAATGTATAATCCAATAAATTGGAAAATCTCAGTTATTGACAAATTTCTAGACACATACGACCTACCCAATTTGACTATGAAGGTAAAGAAAATTTAAATAGACCAATATCAAGCAATGAGATTGAAGCAGCAATTCAAAGCCTACCAACAAAGAAAAGCCCAGGACCAAACAAATTCTCAGCTGAGTTCTACCAGACCTGTAAAGAAGAGCGAACACCAATCCTCTTCAAATTATTCTATTAAATAGAAAGGGAAGGAACACTCCCAATTTAATTTTATGAAGTTGATAGCACCCTGATATGAAAAGCAGGAAAAGACACATCAAGAAAACTACAGACCAATATCCATGATGAACAGACACAAAAATTCTTAATAAAATAATAGCAAACTGCATTAAAAAACACAGTAAGAAGATAGTACACCATTATCAATCAGGTTTCATCCTAGGGATACAAGATTGGCTCAACATATGCAAATCAATAAATGTAAATTAAGACAGGGATCATGTGATAATCTTAACAGATGCAGAAAACGCCTTTAATGAGATTCAGCACCAGTTTATGTTAAAAACACTGGGTAAATGCGAATCAAAACTACTCTAAGATTTCATCTTATACCAGTCAGAATGGCAGTTATCAAGAATACAGACAACAATAAATATTGGTGAGGATCTGGGGGAAAAGGCACACTCATTCATTGCTGGTGGGACTGCAAGATGGCACAACCAATCTGGAAAGAAGTATGGAGATTCCTTAGAAAACTTGGAATGAAACCACTATTTGACTCAGCTATCCCATTCCTTGGTCTACA